TTTCTTGAATACTAAATAATTATAAAAAAAGTCAAATTTAAAAATATTTAAATGCAATATTTTTTATTTATTTTATTATTTTTTTTTAACTTATAAAAATTTTTTATTCTCTTCTTTTTTTCTTTCTATTTTTCTGTCAACAGAAACACTCATACTCTTTATGTAAAATATCGCACCGCAATGTTGAAATCATATTACTATATGTACTGTACAATCCATACCTGTTGGATGTCGCTCAATCATCTAATTTCGACACTTCTTGATCTCAAAACTCTTTTTCAAATTTATTGATTTTCTAACTATAAATCTTTCTACCATATTTGTAAACTTTGCACATGTATACATACGCATATATACACGAACACATTCTTAACGAACAATGTATGTATACTATTGTGTAATGGGTATAAGGAGACACGCAAAGAAGCGATAAATAATACACAAATACGCATTTTTTGCACCGACGTACTAACACAACTTTCATTGTGACGTCCACTAATGTAATTTATACGATCGTGTATATGTAAGATCAATATTGTTTTTATGATTTTATTTCGTATATATGCACTCTATATATATATATGTTAATTGAATTTTTTTAAATATTACATAGAAAAATTATGTTAGAGTTACAGTATTACTAATATTGCTGTCATTTTTTGTTTAATTTTATTATAAAATAAAAATAATAATTTTTGAAAAAATTAAGATAATTAGAAAGTAACTGAAATATTTTTTTCAAAATTACTTTTATTGATCATAATTATAATTGTGAATTTTACATCCGATAATAACATTAAAAAATCTTAAGTATTGATAATAATTTAATATTAGTATAGAATATTCCAATTATAGAATTCATTTTGAACATATTTGCTATTTACGTTTTTTAAAAATAAAATGAAAATTTATTATAATTTAATTATTATTATTGTTTTAATCGTATTGTTATTAATTATAGAACAAAATATTTTATGAAAATATATTATCTATAGATTTTGAAGTTTTAAAAGAGAAATTTATATAAAGTTGAAAAAAATTAAATTATGATAAAAAAAAATAAAAGTTTTGTAAAAACATTTTTCATATTGTTAAAAATACTTTTTAATAAAAATATGCATATTGAAGTGATTACGATTAATAAGACATATACAATTCTGATAGTTTTTTAAAAGAATTATATAATACAAAAGTCGACGACGAATCGTTCTCAAATGCAAATAAAGAGCTTTGAAATCTAGAGATTTTCAGTAAATAAATGCATAAAACAACAAAATATCTTATATATGCACGATTGTATTTTGTCCTTTGTAGAAATGCCTTATTGTCACGTGCCTCGATTAATAATTAAACTGTTCACCTGCTTACCAATTACTTGTTAGTGTACGTAACAAAAAATATGTACGTGTAATATCGCGTTATTCTTTGTACTGCTCTTGTAAATATATTCTAAACGATTACTGTCATCATGTGTTGTCTATGAAATTATACATTTCTTAGATATCCTATTTTTCCTCGCTCTGCTTCCTCATTTGCTCAAATTACTAAAATGAAATTTTTATATTATAGAGAAAATTTTATTATAGAGAAAAACTTATCTTTACTCTATTCATTCTTTTCTCATCTTTGATGTAATTATTTACATACATCATCGTTTCTTTTGATATGAAAATTAGAAAAAAATTTTTTAAGAATAGAATTAATTTTTTCTCGTATTCAAAATATATAATATAATACTTTTTTTATAGAGAATGTTGACTTCCGTCAACTAATGCATTATTGATTTTCGCAACTCCTTTTATGATAATAACAATCTCTGATAATAACAAAAAAATTAATAAAAAATTTTTATCTGAAAAATTATTTAATATTTTCAAAAACAAACAAAATATTCTAAACAAAGTAAAATAAGTCCATTCTGTTCCTAAATTTCTCAATAATTAAATACATTGTAAAAAAACATTTAGCATATATCATAATTGTGACAATTGTAAAAGATATATAAGTAAAAAATAAATATTTTTAAAATTAGACATATAAAAAAACATATAAAAAGTAAGTAGTTTAGTAAAGAAAAAAGTAAATAAGTATTTAAATATTCTATAGTGTCACAAATAAATGTAAATAAAATTTAAATAAAAATTTTTGATGCAGATCTCTTTATATGTTTCTTAATATATATATTCTCTTAATAATATATTAATATAAGATTTTTAAATTTATCAAAAATTCTAAATGAGCGCTTGAAAATTTTTAGTATCAAGATTATTTTTTATTTTTTAACATTTAATGCTTTGAATGCACTATTATCTTATTATTAATATCATTTTTAATATTTTTACCAATTCGCTTCAAATAAAATTAAAATTATATTAAAAATTTCGTGTTACCTCAGTTTTTTTAATACAAAAACGAAAATTTAGCCAAAAATTTAGTGCTAAAAAATCTTCAGTCTTATATAGATATTATATGTAGAATTATATATAGAATATAATATAATATAATTCAAATAGCATACGAAATTTTTTCAGAAATTTCAGGATAGGAATTTTTGTGATATTATATTTATTTCTGAAATATTTATTTTTTGCATATTTATTATTATTATATTATTATTATATTTTTTTATACAATTATTTTTTTTTAAATTTATAATCATTTTTCAATAATTTATTTAATCTAGAATTACTACTTTGTATATATTTAGAATGAAAGCTATCATTTTTTTGTCATCAACTAAAGTTGATATATTTTGGCATTTTCTACAAAAAAAGTATTAGATTTTGTAAATCAAAATTATTATTAAAGAATATTATTATAGAAAATTATTGAATATAAATAATTAATATCTCTAAAGAAGATAAAAAGATAGCGCTGATGATCAATTCTCACCTTATATTTATCTTTTATTTTATTATTTAATCTCTTTAATTATGTTAACTATATTTGATTTGGATTTATTTTATCTTTTCGTTCAAGAAATTTATACATGCCCTTTTATTATTAAAAGATCTGTGAATACAAATTATATATCATTTTAATATATATATTTATGAAAGAATGAAAGATTTTAAAAATTATTTTTAAAATCTAACTTTATTAATATTTGTGATTGAATTGAATATAATTCTTACACTTATTACAGATAAAATAATTTTTATGGTTATATGGTTATATGGTTATATAACGAAATTATAGACTAGATATAAGAGTTTTATATATTTTTCTATAAAATACTCTTATATATTCTTATTCTAATTTGTAATATTGTTACATTTAATTAAAAACCATTAATTCATTTTATTGTCCGTACATTTAACTTTTTTCAAGAGATGGCGCTTCCAAACTATGTGCTAAAAGTACCTTATCTTGTAACAAAACTTCAATTCTAATATAAAATTATATGTTTCGAACTGAAGTTTTAAAGTCTAAATTCTTATTTTTATAATTATATTCAATTAATGAATCAACAGTATTTATATCAATTTATTTATAACAGTTATTTAATTGTTATTTAGTTGTGATATTAATAAAGTGCGATATGGTTGTTACAAAAAATTTTCAGTTTCCTTCGGATGAAGAATTAAATACTCAAGAAATAAACATCAGTTGGCCATATATTCATGCTGCTGCTGTATTTCTTGGAAAGAGATGCGAATGGTTTAATAATGTATGTGTATTTTTTTGAATTTTTTATTTTGATTTTTAAACATTTTATTTGATTGTAATCTCATACTTTTAAAGATTATGTAATCTTAATGGAATTTATTGAAGTAATGATAATAAAAAATGAAATTATTATTCTTATTTTACAATATTTTATAATCCATTTATTCTGAATCATTCTAAATATATAAATGAAAAATTATTTATTTTTAATCAAAATAATATTGTGTTTTTAGGAATTTATGTTATGTAAATATGAATTAAAAGATCCTCGTAAATGTTTAAAGGAAGGAAAAGATGTAACTAAATGTGCATTAGAAGGATTGCAAGATATCAAGAAACATTGTCAAAATGAATTTGAAGCACATGTAAATTGTGTTATAGAAACATCTTCAACAGGCAGCAATGATCAACAGTATGTTCATAATATTACAAATTTATTATCATTTATTATCATTAATTAAAAGAGGTTTTTATACAAAATGTTATAATTAATGTTTAAAATCTTAATTATTAATTATAAATTTTTAAAAATTTTTATAAATCTAAAAAAGAGAAAAATTCAAAATCATTATACAAAAATAAATATGCCTTTAAATTCTTTTTTATCAGATTATAGCAATTTTATAATGATTAGTTGCAGAAAAACCAGAAAAATATTTGATGATTGTATGAAAAAGAATTTGAATTTAGAACGACCATCATTTGGGTATTTTTGTGAAGCTAAAGTACATGATTCACCAAGACCAAAACCACCAAAAGAGAAGACAGAATATCCAGATAGAGTACCTGAGCCAGTAGCTCCACCATATCCTCCTTCAAAATATCAAGGACGTCAAGGTTTTAACATCTAATATTTGTTAGTATTGTAACAAGTTTTTTAGTTAAAATATACTACAAATTTAAAAGAACAATTATCATATAATATGTATTTGTTCTGTATAAAATTGTGAATAAATACAAGTAAACATAATACATATATTGAAAATTAAATGAGTTTTTTAATATAATTATAAATTTTTGCATTTTATATTATATGAATGATATTATAAATTTATTATTATTAATTCAAAATTAAAAATTATATTTTTATATAAATACAACATATAAACTATAATCAATAATTCAAACAATTTCTTTTTATAAATCTAACAAGTAATGAACAAAATATTTTATGAATCATTATATTTTGTTAAATATTCAAACTATAAGAGCAAAACTCATTATAATATTATTCATATATAATTGTTTTAATATTTATTTATAAATTATTTTCTTATAATTAAGATAAAGAAATTAAAAGATGGGAATGATTAATTTATTTTACATATGTGTTTTTCAATAAAATTTTTTTCAATAATATTTGAAACAATTCAATAAAGTCATATCTTTGTTTCTTGATTTTTCAATATTATTTAAAAATAATATTTTACATATTTCAAAAATAAACAAAAAAAATAAATTTTGGCAAAACATTGGATTTTTTAAATTATATACACCTGATATAATATAAACATTATGTACACGCTAAAAAGATTTTAGATTATTCATGTAATAGAGAACAGTAATAGATAATCATTATTTCTTATTATTAATTAAATAGAACAATTAAATAGAACAATTTATTAAAAATCAACTAAATGTTAAAAAATTTTAAGTTTTCTGAAAGAAATTAAATTATTACATTTATTAATAAACTATCAACTTAGATTTATTAAATAAAATAAAAAAAAATATGAAAACCAGATTGCATGAATAATCTAAATCCTTTTTATCAGTCATTTTGCACAATTTAGTATACAATACTTTATAAACATGATATTCTGGAATACTACTCTATCATATTTAACATTTTTAAGTTCATATTTGAAGTAGTTTTCCTGTATATCATAATCGCATTGCACTTTGTATACAAACGGTGGGTATGAGTTTTGAGGCACTATGCAAATCTCTTATTACATAACAATGCTTATTCAAATTTCGCTGTGGAATTTTCTACAAGAAAAATTACAAGCAGAAGTTATTCTTGAATTCGTTGACACAAATTCGACTTGTAATAATACTTTATAACTAATAAACGTTCGTGTCACATATTTTCAATGTAATTAAAATATTCATTCGATTTCAATCAACATTTTGGAAGCAATTAGTTGTTTATATCTAATATAATATTGAATCTTCTGTTAGCTCCATGTTATATCATAACCATTCCAATTTGCACTAGGTGCTAAATGTACTCGTCTTCCTTTATAAAAAAATGTAACCACTCCACGATAGCCAGTTCTTGGTACACCACTCTAGAGAAAATTATATTAAATCCAAAAATTGTTTTAATTATAAAATAATATAAATATAATAATAACCTACAATGTAACAAGATCTTAAATAAATATCTTTTATTAATATAATATGCTACAATATGATTGCATGAAATTTTTTTTAACATAATTTAAACTTTTTATTTTTTTAAATTTCTATCAATTTATTTATCCAAGTGAATTTATAGTAGATATTATTTCTGATTAATTCAAATAATAATATAAACTTTTTTATAAGAATTATAATAATTACCCTAAAATCATCCATTAATCCAAATTGTTTAGCAGTATTTTTATATGCTTGTCTAGAATAGTAAGGAATTCGTACAGTACCAGGTGCCACAACTTTTCCACTTTTTAATTCTGAAAAACTTACTACCGTTGATTGATATACTTCATTAACGAAATTTATATCATAATTGTCCTAAAAATTTTATTTTAAGTAAATATCATTTTTAATCTTATATAATTTTGCATAATATCAGGCCTAAATTATTATTAAACACAATTATTGCATTTTTCTTACTTTTAATAAATAAGTTAAATTCATTTTTGTGAAATACACAAATTCAGTGTTTAGTTTGATATATTTTAAATGTCTTTCATAAAACATTCCACTGCAAATAATATACCAATTAAATATAAAATCTTTTGTTTTTTTTATTTAATTATAATTTGAATCTAATATTAATTTAAATACACACATACTTGCTTACTCCTGTTTTTCCAAATGTTCTAGTTCTAGATATTTCTGGTCGAATACAAGCTCTATTTCGACGTTGTTCAGGCTGCCTTATCCAATCATCCCAATATCTAAAATAAATAAATTAAATCTTAAAATAAATAAATTAGTTTATGAACTTAAAAATAAATATATGTAATAATAAAATTTTCATTCTCTTACGCTTTGGGCCATTTTGGTGAAAGTTCTGTCCATAATTGACGTGTTAACATCCAGCCTAATCCAGGAAAAAAGTCTGTTCTATATAATACATCTGCTGCTTTTTCATCAACTAAACCAGCTTTACCATTATCATTCCATGCAGATACGCACCATAGAGAACTATCAGATATTAATAAAGGATATGTGCCCAAAAAATATTCAAAAAAATCTGGGGCAATGTCCAGATCATCTAAATAAAAAATAAATTCAATGAAACAATTTAACATAATTTAGCAGAAAGAAATAATTATAAATATAAAAATATAATATACCTTCAACTATTATCACAGTATCATATCTAAGTTGAAAGAATACATAATTAAGAGCCCATCCATAATGACGTGCAATTTTGAAATACCCTTTAAATTTTTTCTCTTTTGGAGGTACTTCAATATCTGATTGATCAGGTTGCTGAAGCATATTTTATATTATAATTATTGTGTTCTAATTTAGAATTATTAAAAAAAGAAAAAAATATTATATAGTACTTGTATGTGTATTATTTGATTTCCATATCTAGCAATAACTTCAGCAGTTTGTCGATGTTGACAATCTTCTGAGACAATAATTGGAAATTGTTCTATACTGGGCCTATGTTTGATCAATTGATCTAGGCATCTTTGTACAGTAATACGATTACAAGAAAACACCAAAATTGCTATTATTGGAGATCCATCTAGTAACTTTCCTTTCATAGGAACATTATAAGAAGTTTCACTCTATTAAAAATAAAAACAGTAAAATTATTATTATTAAATTATTAAATTTTTTTAACTATTTTTAATTATTATTAATAATTATTATTATATTTAAATTATATTTTATTATTATTATTCAGATTATTATATTAGAATATAGAATAATATTAGAATACTTACTGAATACAAAGAATTTATTTGTATTTGCTGAGCATTTTTATTATTTTTTTCTGTATCTGCTTTTTCTTTTTCAAGAAAAATCTTATCTTGATTCACATGATTTATATCTTTTTGTTTTTTATATGCATTTGTATTTATAATATCAACTTTTTCTATTTCAAAAAAAAATTAAGAATTATAAATTAGATGTTTAAAAATTAAATTCAATTAACAGTTATGTTACACTTTGAAAAAGAATTATACCATACTTTTTTGTTGTTTATCTTCTTTAATATCTTCAAGAAGTTCCTGATTTAATGTTATTTCTTGTTTTACTCTTCTTTCCAATTTACTAATCTGATTTGATATTCTAGCCTAAAAATAAAATATCATTTAATATCTAATAATTTCATATATTCTTCCAATTTATTGACTTACTATATCCCGTTCTTTAGACACTGGTTGATCAGAAATCAAAAAATATGTAATCAAGCCCCACAGAACAAGAGAGCCGAAAATAACAGTGACTGACCTGTTCCGCATGGCAGGACCAGGTGTCACCTCATCTGAAATATTTAATTTATAATAAAAATGTTTATATTATTAAAAATTACTATCTATATATTCATATATATTCATCAATAAAATTATCAATAAATTTTTACTGATATAAATGTAAATTTATAAAAATAAAGAAAATATTACTATATTTGAAAATATTGTATTATTTATTAATAATAAAATTTCTTTTATAAATGAAGTTAATACATTACGTTACGTACCATTATGATACCCACGTAATCTTTTGGCGTTATATGAGAACGAACATTTTTTCGTAAAAAAAAAGCAAGTGTTTTACAAATTTATTGTTTAATTTCTTGAAGAAAACAGATGCGTTTATTAAGTATGTTATATCCCCTAGAATTTTAAGTAAAATTATAAAATCTCACGCGTTGACACTGTAATATAAACTCCATTGTTGAGTTACGCGGTAGACGCAGAGAAAATTTGTTCAGCAAGAAAACTATCGCTTTCCCTTGAGAAAATCATCAGAAAATCTTGAATTCATCCGTGTGATGGAGCCACGTAGATACTCGTTATAATGTTCCGATAATATTTCAAAATTGTGTAATTTCATTTTAAATATATATATATATACATATATGTTTTATAATATTAAATAATATATGTAAAATTTAAATTTTTGTTGAAACATTCCGAAGTTTGTTTTATCTTAATTATTTAAATGATAATATATGAATATAATTGAATAATTACATAACCTATAAAAGTAATTATATTTAATTTTATAATTTAATTTCTTTATTTAAATGATAAGCAAAAATATTTTACAAATAATAAAATATTATATAAAAATATATATTTAAAAAATAAAAAATTTATCTGTGCATATATAAATAAATTTTTAATTAATATATTTTTTAATTTATTTACAAAAATTGAATGTAGGATAGTTCAAATAATGTGTTACAAGCTATTTTTTCGAAAATTAATGAAAATATTGATCTTATTTTTTCTTCATTTAAATAATATATTAAATCATTTAAAATACAACAAATTTTTTTTACATAATTTTTTGAAAAATTATGTATAATATATTATATATAATATATTATGTATATATATTATATTATAGCAAAATATTTCAAGGAAGAAATAAGACAAAAAATTATTAAAACAATTCTTAAGTTTTAAAATGATATACTTTTAATGTCTTTTTATCTCTTGAATTAAGAAAAAGATAAAATCGATATCTTCATTGATTTCCGAAAGAGTATTAAAAAATAATTTATAATATTTTATTTAGACCAGCTTATATATATAAAATTAATTTTGATCTAAAAGAAAAAAATAAATAAATAGAAATTATTTTTAAAGAGAAAATTTTTATATTGTTTATTAATTTATTTTATTAATTATTTACCATAGATGCAATATTAATGAAAATTACAAAATCATATGTAATTTCTAATATTAATTTTTAAATTTCGAAAAAATGATAAAATGATTTTTAATTTATAAACTAATTCAATTTATAAAAATTAAAAAAAATCACAATAATAACATTAAAATTAATAAATAATAAATTAAAAATTTATTGAAATGAAATTAAAAGTTATAATAAATAATAGATATAATTTTATTATCTTCTTGTTCAGTAACTTCATTTTTTTATATTAGATTTAATCATAAAAAATGTCAAACGATAAAGAAGAGCAATTTAGAGTTTATATGGAAGATAGACGAATTCCATGTCGATATGGGACTAAATGTTGTCAAAAAAATGCAATTCATCTTGAAAAATATAAACATCCACCTACAAAAGAAACGGTAAAAAATTATTAAAATTAAAATTATAAAAATTTAATATGTTATACATATTTGTACGTATTATACATACCTGAACACATTTTAATAATTAAATATTTGCATATTATTTATTAATATTATTGTTATATATCAATATTTTCGATTAATTTATAAAAAAATAGGTATATTTTATTATTTATATGATGATTATATTTTTTTATTAAAAATATATAGGAAAAAAAAAGAAATACAAAACATTCAGAAATAAAAAAAAAGAGAAAAAAGAAAGATAATAATGAAACATCAAATAATTTTCAAAAAAAGAAAATAAAGAAAGAGGAAAATAAAATAACTAATGAAGATTTGCATAATGTTGTAACTACTGTGGAAAATAATATTACTAAAAATAATAATATATTTTGTGAAATTATCAAACAATCAGAAGATTTAAATCATACAGAATCTATAAAAAATACAAATAATCTAATTACCATTGCATCATTATTAGATTGTGATAAAGTTAATATTGAAAATGATATAATTTTAAAAGAAATTTCAAATAATGCAAAAATAATTATTTCTCATTTGTTCCTTACGGAAATGCCAGAAGATTTTTTTCAGCTTTATGAATTCTGTAAAAATATTTGTGAAAATGATCCTTTAAATGCATTGAATCATTTTCATTTGCAACTGGTAGGACCTTATGATATATTTAAAAAGGGATTTATGAATGCTAAAGTTGAGAATAAAGAAGTACTGTTAAAGCATTGGAGATATTATTATGATCCACCAGAATTTCAAGTAAGAAAATTATATTATTTTATTAATTATGTTATTAATTATAAAATTTTTTTATAGACAATTATCAAAGATAATAATAAGGATGGTTTGCATTTTGGATATTGGCGAGATGATATTTCAAAATATCCTGTATTTGTAGCAAAAAATAAAGCAGCTATAAATTGTATAATTGAACCTGTTGCAGAAAATATATTTGGTACATTAGAGTAAGTAATAAAAGTTTTAATAAAATACTAATTTGCATAGCTTATATAGTTTATATAAATATTTATATAACTTTTTTATTTACAGTGTATATTTTGAAGAAAAATTGAAATTAGCTACTCCATTCGAAAAGACACGTATAACTATGTTGCATCAAAAACTTAAAAGTTTTGCAAAAGAGAAGAAAATAACTTTAGAAAAAAAAACAGCAAACATGCAAGATAGAGAAAAGAAGATTGTTACAAGAACCTTTCATAAAGCAGGCATTGTAGTGCCTTATAATAAAAAAACTCAATTAGGATATAGAGATTTGGCTATAACTGACAGTAAGTTATTGTCAATCTAACTAAATATATTATAATTTAATTGACTACTTTTATTATAGATGAATTACAAAAACTTTTAAAAGAAATAGAATATGCTTCAACACCTGAAGTTAGAAAAAAATCAATGTCAAAATTAGAAGAAGTAATACGATTGGCAACAATTGCAGCTGATGAATGCGATTTCGGCACAGTTTTAGAATTAGGCCATGATTTATTTTCTAGTGGTATTTCTTTTGTTCAAAGTAAAGCATTGAATTTAATGTCTCTCGCCTATAATCTTTTACAAAAACCTCAATTTTTGAAAATTGCCCAAGTTCATTTAAAAAATAGAAGTAAAAGTTTGGATTTAAATGTTATTGAATATGATTAATTACAATAAAATTAATATGAAAAAAATAAATAAAATTGAAAATTAAATAAAAAAATTTTAAATTTTAAATAAAAAATGAATTGTAATTTTTGTAATATTAAAATGTGTTTAATTAATAAATATTTAATCTTTTTTACTTTTTTCAATTTTATTTCAATCTGTAAAAAATATTTTAATTTTAAACTTTAGTTTTAATTTTAGATAATTTAAATTTTAAATTAATAAATATTTAATCTTTTTTACTTTTTTCAATTTTATTTCAATCTGTAAAAAATATTTTAATTTTAAACTTTAGTTTTAATTTTAGATAATTTAAATTTTAAATTAATAAATATTTAATCTTTTTTACTTTTTTCAATTTTATTTCAATCTGTAAAAAATATTTTAATTTTAAACTTTAGTTTTAATTTTAGATAATTTAAATTTTAAATTAATAAATATTTAATCTTTTTTACTTTTTTCAATTTTATTTCAATCTGTAAAAAATATTTTAATTTTAAACTAGATAGTGTCATAAGTCCACGTTACATGATGTGAATATATGCAGTGACAAATACAAATAGGATTACAGCAATGAATGAATTCAAAAACGATAGACAAAAAAGAAACTGCAAAGAAAACTATTCAGGATGGTTCAAACGGGAGATTATATCATAATTTTGTTTCGGATTAAAAAATAAATTCTTCATTCAAAAACAAAATGTTTTTAATTAAAAATGATAATTCGCATAATTAAACAAGAATGAAATTAAAAGAAAACTAATAACGTGTAAAATCGTGTACCGAACGGATTTTAATGACTATAGTTATAATTATTGTTAATCAACAGCAATCGTTTAAACGTTTGCGATGGAAAATAAAAGCTGCAATAATTTCATAAGTTATGTTGGTCTGGAGGAACACGAGATGCAGGTAATTATCAAATGTATTTTTATGTAAACATTCAAACATAACCTTAATTTTGAATAATAAATATTTAATTTAGCTTAAATATTTATAAAATTATTTGTATTACTTATTATTGAATTAATTAATGGTTTAATAAATTATGTGTAGCCACTAAGTTCTAGTCGACGTAATTCGTTATCCGAGAATAATATTAAATTGTTACCTGGTGAAATCTTCATCACCAAAGCAGAAAATGTTCTTATGTTTTCACCTGTTAGTGATTTAAATCAAGGAACATCTGGCATTCTATCTGTTACAAATTTTAAACTCACTTTTGTTACAACTGATGACACAAATGGAGAAGTAAATAAATATTATAATATTTACAAAATATTCTAATAAATATATTTGTAATCGTAGTTTTATTTGATTGTATATAAAACATGATTGTATATAAAACAATATATAAAACATAAATATAGAATATTTTATTTATAGGATGTGGCTCGTCAACAGAATCATCTTTATGGATATATGGACACATGTTTAACAAATATAGAAGATATTTATGTAACTATAGGAGATAAGAAAAGAAAATTAACACCTGGAAATATTGTACCATCTAAAATAAAAGGAATATTTATTATTTGTAAAGTAATTATTTTCTATGAAATGTTATAGATAATATATTATTCTTTCTGTATATTTGTTTTTATTGAAAAATATGTTATGATTTTAGAATTTACGAACATGGTCTTTTTCTTTTAAATTTTCACCTATTGGAGATGGAAAGAATCTTCTACAAGCATTACTACATCATGCTTTTCCTAGCAGACACCAATTACTTTTTGCTTATGATTATCAGTTAGTAGTTTAAATAAATATTTCAAATTAATATTAAAAGTTAAAAAATTATTTATTCTTTTATTTGATTTCAGAAAAGTACATTATAGTAGTCTAGATAAAGCTGTTCGTTTATTCCGAGATATCTCAGATTGGTGCAATGAATTGGAACGTATCATATGTAATGAAAAATTCAGAAAATTCTGGAGATTATCTACTGTTAATAAAGATTTTAAACTTTGTCGTAGGTAAATGCAAATAATTATTAAATATTTTATTATATTTAAAATAATATATAATATAAAGTATTTTTACAGTTTATCTCGATATATAATTATACCAGCTTCAATTACTGATAATCAATTAATGGATGCAGCTAAGCGCTTTCAAGGCAACCGTCCACCAATTTGGTCTTGGTCGAATGCGCGTGGTGCAGCCTTAGTAAAAATGTCCGAACTTTCACCGTTAGTTACCAGTAGAATACAAGAAAATATTATGTTTGAAAATGTTCGTAAAAGTCATCCTCGCAAAATGCCGCCAATTGTTTTAGAATTAAATAAAGGCATTAGTGTAAAGTTAATAGCTGTAGCATTTTCAAAATTTGCCTGTTTATGTTCACCAGGTAAATTAAATTTATCATTATCATTTTAAAATCATAACTTATTCGATAAATATTATAAATATTCATTATTCATTTCAGAAAATATTCGACAATTTTGGTTACAAGATAATAATTTTTATTCATTAGTAGAAAATACAAAATGGTTAAAGTATGTATCATATTGTTTGCAAAAAGCTGTTGAAGCCTGTGAGCATCTTCATTTAGGATATTCTGTTATATTACAAGGTAACAATACAACATAATTTATTTTTTAATCATTCTAATAAAATTGATTTTTAGAAGGTGCTGGTACAGATCTTTGTTGCATTATATCGAGCTTAGTTCAATTATTACTTGACCCTTATTTTCGAACTATAAATGGATTCCAGTCTCTTTTACAAAAGGAATGGGTTGCTAGTGGCCATCCATTCTGTGATAGATTAGGTCATATTTCTAAGAGGACTTCAGAGAAGGTATATTAATTTAATTTAATTTTAATTACTTATAAATTAGCAATTATTTTTTTATTATTTGTTATTTTTATAGTCTCCATTGCTTCTTTTATATCTTGACTGTATTTGGCAATTGAGTCAACAATTTCCCGGGGAATTTGAATTTACGGAGACGTATCTGACTACTCTGTGGGATGCTGCCCATGTTTCTGTTTTTGATACATTTATTTTTAATTGCGAAAAAGATCGAATTGCGGCAGCTACGGTAATTTATTTAAATATTTCTAATATTTAATATTTAAATATATATATTGATTTTCTAATCAAAATATAAATCTTAAGAAAAATGATATTTAAGTATTAACATTTAAATAATATGTCTTTTAGGATCCAGAAAAGCCACTTGTTCTTCGGAGCGTATGGGATTGGAAGAAACAATTTAGTGATCAAGATATTTTATTATTTTATAATCCCTTTTACAACCCCCGTGAAACAGATTCTAAGGAAAAATTTGTGATAAAACCTTTGTATAATATTGCAAATCTAGAACTATGGACTCAGTGTTATTTTCGATGGATACCAACATTAGAGATTCATAATGGCGGAGAGAATCATATTGAACTTTATGCAAGATTACTACAGAACAATGTAAATCAATTGAAAATGAATATAAACGACAATTGTGGCTCACCTACTGGTAAATCAAATAGTTATTCCATTCATATGAATATTGATAGTTTTTATCCATTTTCAAACAAGAAGTCAGGAAATATAGTAAGCACACCAATCATGAATAATTCCATTCTTGCAACAAAAAGCTTATTAGAAGCGCAGTCTTTAATCACTGCAACTGACTGATATACATATTTCATTAATATTTTTTTAAAATTTATTAAAATTTATTAAAAAGAATAAAAAACACTATAATAATTATACAAAAACAACCAGAAATATCAGAAAAAAATTCTTTTAATCCTTTTAGTACCAAATTTATATAGTGTTTGTATAAAAAAAAAATGTAAATATGTTTTAAGTGATAAATCATTATATTCTTTGTTTTTGATTTATATTATAAATTAGTTATTTAAATATTCATGTATAGAAATTTAAAACGCTTTTTATAAATTATTATTGATTTGTTCATTTTAATTTTTTTTACTTTGGTACTTAAAGGATTAAATATTTTGAAATTGCATTTTGAATATAATACGAGAATTTCTCTTTTTATATTTTAAGTTATATTGTAAAATAGTAAAATTAAGAAAATATTTAATAACAAATTAATGTTATAAATTAAATAACAATGAAACTATTTTTTGTAGAAAAAATTATGTATGGTCTAGTAAATTTTTTTAACCCTATTATTCCCTATTTATCTCTAGAAAATCAAATTTACTAGATGAATTTATTATAAAGGAAATATTAATAATATCTATGTTGGTAACATTAAATAATAGCTAATTTTTCGAACCTTCTAAAGAATTATACGTAAAATACTTTTTCTTAATAATGAATATTACGAATAATAAAAATAATAAAAATAATTCTGTATTAAAAAGGACGAAAAAGATAAATTCTATATTAGAAGAAAGAAATATAAACAAAATTATATTTTGTGTATTAATTCTCGTTACATGCTTTAAAGTACTTCTAATTCCCGTATAGTATGATTTTTTGTACATTTAATAATACATAAACAAATTATTAAGCTTTTACTATATTTATTGCATTTTATACTATTTTTTATTTGTACTATTTGATTTTTAGTCATTCTACGGATTTTGAAGTACATCGCAACTGGCTCGCTATAACACATAATTTACCATTAAAAGAATGGTATGTGAATGCCAATTCACAATGGACTTTAGATTATCCACCATTATTTGCATGGTTTGAATATTTTCTCAGTCATATTGCAAGATTTATAGATTATGACATGCTGAAAGTAAAAAATCTGAATTATGCATCATTTAATACCATACTTTTTCAAAGAAGTTCTGTTATAATTTTAGATTTAGTATTTACTTATGGAGTTAAAGAGTAAGTTTTTAATAATAATGATATATGAAAGATATATATATATTTTTAAAATTCATTTTATTATATTAAATTCTAGAATTGGAAAAGTATTTTGCGACACTTTTGATGAATATGTTATGTTCATAGTTTTTTCTTTATGCAATATGGGATTGTTAGTAGTGGATCATATACATTTTCAATATAATGGGTTCTTACTTGGTATTTTTCTACTTGCTATTGCAAATGTTTCTAAAATAAATAAACAGGTATGTAAGCAAAAAAATACTTTGAAACATTTTTTACTTTGAAAAAAGAATTAAACAATTTATTTTTTAGATATCTATTTTATATGGAACATTGTGCTTTGCCTTGTTATTAAACTTAAAACATATTTATTTATATGTTGCACCAGTGTTTATAGTATGGTTACTTAGATCATATTGCATGAACAATGGCTCATTTTTTAGACGTTTATTTATACTTGGAAGCATAGTTTTTATTACTCTGATAATTTCATTTGGTCCATTTGTTTTGCAATTACCTCAGGTAAATAATTATGTTGCATGTGATATTATCTTTTTCTTTATTGATTATAATTATCTTAGGTAATTTCAAGGTTATTTCCATTCAAAAGAGGTTTAGTACATGCATATTGGGCAGCAAATGTTTGGGCATTATATATAGCTATAGATAAAATAATATTTTTAATTTTAAAAAAATTAAAATGGCTAAAAATTACTAGATCAGCAGTAATGACAGCTGGTTTAGTTCAAGAACAATCATTCTTAGTTTTACCAACTCCTACTCCAATTGTAACATTTTTATTAACCATTTTCTCAATGATAGTAAGTATCAAATTGTTTATTTATTAGTTTATTTAATAGTATATTAATATATTATTACATCATATTAAAAAATTATGTGAATTACAGCCCTCATTATATTGTTTATTATATAAAAAAGAATATTTTACAAATTCAAGACAGTTTGTACGATGTTTAGTTCTATGTGCTTTAAGTTCTTTCATATTTGGTTGGCATGTACATGAAAAAGCTATTTTAACTGCTATCATACCAATGTGGTAAGTAAAAAATAAAACTAATGAAATAAAACCAAACAAGTTTTATATTTTCTAGTGTATTGGCAACAACAAACAAGAATGATGCTAAAATATATTTAATTCTGAGCAGTGCTGGACATACTGCTCTTTTACCTCTACTTTATTTAAATAATTTAACTCCATTAAAAATTTTGCTACTTTTGGTGTATGTAATTGCAATTTTTTTAGCTTTTTGTCAAAAATTCAATTTAGATTTACTTTATTCATATGAATATATATATGTATTCACTTTACCAATATTAACAGTATATGAAACAATAATACATAAAATAATATTTGGAGAAGCATTACCATTTTTACCTCTAGCACTTACTTCAATATATTGTGCTATAGGAATAATTTATTCTTGGATTTTTTATTATTATATGTTTTTACAATATAACAAAATTTATGACCAAAAAAAGAAAGTATAATAAAATTTATATTTTGCATATGACATATTTATTGTATTTCCCAATTTTTTTAACCTTAGAATATTATTATATTACATAGTTATATGAATATTAAATTTTGTTGGAAATATTTTATAATTGCAATTTTAATATAAAATTATAATCAAAATGATATATATATATATATAATTAATCAATAATAAAATTTTAATAAATTTTAATTAAGATTGAATAAATAAAATGAGGATTATAAATCAAAAATATAAATTGTAATTTATAAAAATAAAAATAATTTTTTATTCAATTATTTAATATAGATTTTCATATATTCTATCAATTATTTTTATTTTTAATTATAT